TTACATCAACATGGATGGGACTGGAGGAGATTATGCTAAGTGAAATAAGTCAAGCAGAGAAAGTCAGTTATCATATGGTTTCACTTAGTTGTGGAACATAAGGAACAGCATGGAGGACATTAGGAGAAGGAAGGGAAAAATGAAGGTGGGGAAATCGGAGGGAGAGATGAACCATGAGAGACTATGGACTCTGAGAAACCAACTGAGGGTTCTAGAGGGGAGGGGGGTGGGGGGATGGGTTAGCCCAGTGACGGGTATTAAGGAGGGCACGTTCTGCATGGAGCACTGGGTATTATATGCAAACAATGGATCGTGGATCACCACATCAAAAACTAATGATGTATTGTATGGTGACTAACATAACATAATAAAATTTAAAAAATTAAGAGATTAGTTTTGTTCTAGAACTTAAAAAAACTAAACTTATTTAGAGAAGAGGTAGAGAGTTAAATAATGATTCTACAAGTAACTAACAACATTTGTTAGTTCATCCTTTGATATTATTTAGAAGGAAATAAGTTGGATATATTCCTCATATGGCTTTGGTGAACATGGTCAATTAATTATAGAGTATTAGTGCTTAGAAGAGAACTTCAAATTCTGCAGGTTTTACATCTTATTCTTTTTTTTTTTTTTTAAAGATTTTATTTATTTATTTGACAGAGAGAGACAGTGAGAGCAGGAACACAAGCAGGGGGAGTGGGAGAGGGAGAAGCAGGCTTCCCGCGGAGCAGGGAGCCCGATGTGGGACTCGATCCCAGGACCCTGGGATCATGACCCGAGCCGAAGGCAGACGCTTAACGACTGAGCCACCCAGGCGCCCTACATCCTATTCTAAAAAGAAAATAAAAACAAAAGTTAAGGTTCAAGATTACACAGGACTAACAGGCAGAGCTGAAATTCAACTCTTTCTCAGCCTTCTGCTCCTTTGCAGTATTTCATGATGCATTTTGGCCAGGATTCACAATAATGGCCATGGGGAACACTGCTCTTTTGGCTATTCTAACAATGATTCATGTGTTTTGTTTTCTGTGTAGCTTGTAGGACACAATGAAACAAGAGGACATATGAAGTGTTGTCTTGTGTTCTTGCCGCTACCTAGAAAACACTTTTTTTTTCCTTTGAGAAGAATAAAAATATAACTTAAATACACACCCACTAATAAGCTCTGATAAAAGTCTGGGTTACTGTCAGGAAAACAAACAGCCTAAACATTTTACCTTGCATAGTTACAGAAAAAGTCCTATTAAATTGATTTCAGGACCTTCTGAAATTTATATTAGCCAAGGAACAGTTAAGATATTCATATAATCCAGGCAGAGGAGGAAGCAAAGTTAAACTCCCAAATATAGAAGTAGTATTCATCATTAACCTCTCTTCTTTCCTATCACCACTAAAAGATTAAGAATCTATGAAAAAGGGAAGTTAACATTACAGAAACTATTCTGAACTACAAACAATTTCAGAGAAAAATTTCTTCAAAGAAGAATTGTCACTTAACCTTTAATTCATAACCAACTCATGCATTCCAGTTTTCATGACTTCTAAATAAAAGCACTAAACTGTTGCTAGTACGGTCACATATATCCTGATTCCCTCATTCACTACACACTTTCAGTCCTCAACCTACCTAATCACTCAGCAGCATTTGATCCTACTCACTACTTCCTTTTCCCCCTACAACTCTTTACTCTCGTCTTAAATGTTCTTGCCACTCAGAAAAAATGGTAATTATATGAGGTGATGGATGTATTAGCTAACCTTACTGTGGTAATCATTTCACAATATATACGTGTATCAAATCATCATGCTGTACACCTTAAACTTACATAGTTACTTGTCAATTACAGCTCAATAAAGTTGGAAAAAATAAAACAATACTGAAATCTCAAAAAAAACACAAAAAACCAACAACCCACAAACAAACAAACAAAAACCTCTTTACTACCTTTGCTTCCATGACACCACTCTCATCTAATTCTCTCCTACCTCTTTGGTCATGCCTTCTCATTGTTTTTCCACGAGCGGCACTCCTACTCATCCTTCAGTTGTTGGTGGTTCACAGAGCTCACTCCTTATCTCAGTTCTCTTCATTTACTCAAAAATACTTATTGGGCACCCACTATAGGCCAGGAACTCTTCTCGATAATTGTGACAGCAGTGAACAAATCAGATGAATATCCCTGCTCTCTTGAAGCATACATCATATAATCAGACAAAAAAATAATACATAAGTAAATGATATAGTGTTAGAAAGCTATAAGTGGTACAGAAGACAAACAGCAGAATAAAAGGAATCCATTCTAAAACTCTCCTTAGACCACCATATTAATACATCCATGACTTTATCACCTATATTTTAACTATTCCCAAATCTCTATTTGATCACATATTTTTTCTGAGCAGCAATACTCTAAAGACCTTTTCACAATTTATCATGCCTCACACTCAACTCAACATTCATCTTCCACCGTAACTTGTTCCTGTTTTGATAATGGCAATAACCATCCACTGAGCCAGCCAAGTCAAATACCTAGATGCTTCCTGTAGTCTATAGATCTTACCTGTCCCAGAATCTTATTTATCTGCATAAATATCTCTAACATTCTTCTATTCTCACTTCCACTCCTCTAATTAAAAACCTCAGTAAATAGCAGGATCAACTCTGTTGTCTGATGCCTGGGCTGAATCATAGTTCCACCGTTTACTTACCATTTGGTTTTGAATTTAACCTCTGTAAGTGCTAGTTTTCCTATCTGCAAAATGAAGACAACACTCCTAGGTTTGCTTTGATTAAATGAGTATGGCTGGAGGTATTAGCATCAAAATCATCAACAGTACCAGCAGCATGATTAATTCCTAAAATAGCCTCTTAAGTTAGTTTTCCTTCTTCCATCCTTACCCTTCTTTAATTTTTCCCAACACTGCAGCCCTAGTAATCATCAAGATCCACAGGCCTAAACACAATGACCCTACTAAACAGGTTCCGAAGGCCTTTGGCATAAGTCCAAATGCTTTGCATGTAAGAAAATTCTTTTCTCCTTCTTTCCTTTTTTTAAAACTTAAACTTGCTAAAGTATCATAATTATAGGCAAGCCAGCCTGGAGGTGAACTTTTCTGTGAAAGATCTTCAAAATATAAACTTCAGTTTCTTTTTTCAATTTACAGTTTCAGCAGATGATTTTAAAGTTATCACAAAGTTGTCTTTTTGTTTCCTTCTAAGTACATATTTCATTTTTATGGTCAAAATATTAAATGGCCTTTGATTTAATCAATCACCATGGTATGATGGAATACAAAATAAGCATTGTGAAAACCTGTGCAGCAATGGAAGCCAAACAGATGATTTAAATTATTTCCTTCAGGCTTTTTATCACATTTTCTCTTCCTATGAAACAAACACAAAACACCATTGATTGACTTCATGGATTGTTATGTGGGTATTTGTATATGTTTTTGTATGTGTGTGTACACTCATATGTGTTTGTAGGTGAACTGACACTTAACTAAAAGCATCTTCTTAGATGATAAAAAAAGTCACCATAAAAAATTATGTAATACAATAAAATGTCAGAAACTATCATAGTGTTCTAGAAGCTATTTATATGATTTTGTAAAAAGCCGTATCTGCCACTAAAAAGTAAAAACATTCTATTATTCATTTATTTGACAAGTACTAGTGTAAAAAGAACATAAAATGAAATTTACTAAATACAATTATTGAGGTCGAGCAAATTCACAATTATAGAGCAGGTCATAGTGTAAGAGGATAAACAAAAATGGAGTATGTGTTCTTTAAGCTTTATAATTACTGAGAAGCCTTCTGAAACAAATATATTACATTACTTAAGGACTAAGCCATATTTTAAATATATTTTACTTATTGACCATTATGAAACTTGCAGAATTTATATATTTAAAGTGCAACTTCTTTAAACAATTGATAAAAATAGTTTAGACAATTAGAATTAAATTTTAAAAATGTCATAATGCAAAAGAAATATGCTGTCCACCAATTAATTATCAAAAAGCTAATAACCCAGGGCTTAGTATTAAGATTTGGATTTAGTATCATCATATTATGTTATTATTAATATATATAAATTTAGATAATATAAAGTTAAATTATCTTAACTTTTACCTTAAAAATACAAATATTTTATTTTTATTTAAGGCCTCAGATTTTTAAAAAGCCAAAATATTATATATAATGTATATCCCACTGACATTTACTCAAGAAAGAATTCTGGTAAAATTGTATATTACCAGAGTTTCTTATGAGAATAAAATGTATTCTAAAATTTGGTTATTTAACCACCATAACATAGTACATATCCCTTACAAAAATATTCTAAAAATGAAAGTAAAGAGCTTAATTTTTAAAAACAATTGTAATTTGTTTTACCATTACAATGTTTAATCACATATTTTAATATTTTTTTCATTTTATATCATAAAAACTTTTGTTATTTTATGTGTTCCTAGACAAATGAAAATTAACTAGAAAAAATCTAAAAATATGTGTATGATATTCAAGATTGTGCAATGTGAGTAATAATAAAGAATGAATTTAGCAAGGTAAGGAGACATGCACTGCATACTATTAAAGTGTCAGTGTCTAATTACCCATTTAAAACTAAATAGAATCCTAATGCTCACACCCTTAAATATGACCAATTAATACAATGAATAAAGAAAATTAGGAGATAAAACAGTACTATCAATCTTGTTATGACAGCCAAAAATGACTTTGCTTGTAAAGCAGTTAAGGTATTCTGAAATTGTCAGGGACTAATTATTAATTGGCTACTTAGATATAAAAATTTACAAATGATTCATGTCTATTTGATGATACCCCTATATTGTGATGAATCATAATTAGACATTTGTAACTTGATATTCCTCTACCTGTCCAATTCTTTCACAAGAACACATGAAATACTGTTATATTCAAGATAGTGTCGAGGAGGATTACTTATGAAACATGTGGAAGATTTTACCTGTCCAACCAGGCAAGCAGACTCTTGGCTGCTCCTATCAGATCCACAACTGAAGTGAGAAAGTCATTTGGCAATTTTCGGCTGGTTCTCCCATCATAATGGCCACTCCTTCTCCTTCCTGTTATAAAATTCTGTAGATTTTTGGCAGATGCATTCAGCTTGTGAGAAAGGGTTTTTAGATTTTCTGTTTCCAAGCCATAATTCTGAATTATAAAAAGAGAGAAAACAAATATACTTGAAGTCAATATTATATTCATTAACTAAAATATTTACTAAGTATGTTACTATGTACAGGCAACAGAATTAGTATTAAGAGTTACAAATGACTAAGATAGGATTCCTGGCCTAGCAGAACCCACAGTCAAGTAAGGATCTGGGCAAATGTAAGATAAACAAATTACAATAAAATGTGTTAAATGCTAATATGAACATGAAAAGATGAGGGCATTATATCTTGGAAATATGCCATGCAAGAAAGAAAGATTATTAGGACTCATAAGTGTTTTTTTAAACCCAAACTTAAGTTCATTTACTTGTGAAAACCATTTTTATCAGTAATTATTTTTTTATTAAAAGATTTTATTTATTTGAGAGAGATAGGGTGCACGCAAACGTGAGCTAGGGGTGGGGCAGAGGGAGAGGGAGAAGCAGGCTCCAGGGAGCCTGACACGGAGGCTCAATCCCAGGACTCCAATTGGGATCATGACCCCAGCTGAAGGCACACAGTTAACCAACTGAGCTACCGAGGCACCCCAGTAATTATTTTTTAGTATCTATTCTATTAGCATATGCATAGTCATGAATGTAGATGCTATGAAAAATTCTGCTTTCCCAAAGTGAGCAAAGAAAGCACAAGCTAACGATAAAACGAAAAAGAAACAAATCATATGCAATATAGCTTTATTCTGTGTCCTCTCCATAATGACTCACATAAGAACTTCTATATGGTACCAGAAAAAAACTCTAATTACTCAGTGGAACCAATACACTTTTTCCTTTTTATAATACAAATTATGAAACTGAACTTATTTTTATTTTTTGTCATGGCTGCACTAGCTCACAGCCAATTATGAAGCACATGGAAAACAATCATACTGACTTTTTGCTAAGTTTGTTTTCTTATATTTCCTTGGTCTCATTTTTGAATTTGCAGTAATATTTACTGTTTAACCTTAAATATTGTGTCTATAAATTAATGTAGAAAGAAGTTATGTGAATCAATATAAATAGCTTTTTTTAAGAAAAACACATTCAATACAAAACACTCTAAGATCTCCACAAATAAACTTTAGGGACAGATTTCATAAGTTACAATTAAATTTTAAAAGAGCTAATTGTGAGTTGTAAAACACCTCCAAGAAAGGCTGGTTAACCTGCTCAAAAGATGACTTTCATCAAACTACTTAGCAGCATGTATGTTATCGTCATGTGTAAAATTAAAAGTATTATTACCTTATAGAAAAATCATAAAACCCAAAGAATTTTAGATAGTTTCTGAAGCCCAAATGAATTCTAAGATTGATTTATCTTCCTTTTACAGTTGAGGACAATGAAGCACAGGGAGATTTTCTCTGTGCTTACAGAGCTTAGAGTAGACAGAGTTCAGAATGGGACTACAAGTCACAAGGCCATATGTGAGGGGATATTTAAGCAAAATGGTAGATAAAATACTAGGGGTATGAAAAAGGGAAGCAAATGGCACAATATATTTAGCTGTATTAAGTCAACAACCACTGGGTAACTATATGAAATTTAAGTTTATTTCTTCTACGGTAATTTAAGAAAAGAAACTTGGAGGAGAAAAAAAAAAGGACTAGAGGAGGATTTGGACACATAAACATTGAAAACCAAGTATATATAAATAAATACCAAAGTTATGTATGTTACCATTGAAGGTCTTTTAGTGATAAAAGTCTGAATGTTCTTTGCTAAAAATTTATATTTTTTATTAAAGAACATTCCTTTTGGAGCCATGGATCTCTTTTTTTAAAAAAACATAGTTATTAAATATTCACTACTAAATTTGAATGGCAATATTCTCTTAAGTCAAAACGTTTTGTTTGCACAAATAAAACAACATTCTATTCAGATTCTCTTGCATCTGAGCATGGATTATCTGTGAAACATTTGGGAAATTTTATCCAGCTTGTCAGTATATTAAGAAGGAAATCCCTTTGAGGTGCCTGGGTGGCTCAGTCGTTAAGTATCTGCCTCTGCCTTCAGCTCAGGTCATGGTCCCAGGGTCCTGGGATCGAGCCCCGCATCGGGCTCCCTGCTCCGTGGAAAGCCTGCTTCTCCCTCTCCCACTCCCCTTGCTTGTGTTCCCTCTCTTGCTGTGCCTCTCTCTCTCTGTCAAATAAATAAATAAAATCTTAAAAAAAAGAAGGAAATCTTTTTATAAGTTTATTAAAGATATTCTCTAATGACTAGATAAGAACAATTTATAATTATATCAACTTATTTTTTAATTTGGCTTGAAACAACAGAAATTTTTTCTCATACTTTGGAGATCAGAAATCCAAAATCTTAAAAGTATTCTCATTTTTAATTTTTGTGTATTAATGATTTTCATGAGGAAAGACTTGTTTATAAACATAATAATTTCTTAGAGAAGCTCAAATGATAATAGTTCATTAGAGAGGAAGCTAATCAATCAACCTGTAATATAACTTTCACTCTATAGCCATTAGTTGCCATATAACACTAATTTCTCTTTATATATAACACTAGCATCTCAATATTTTCTTAGAAAAGGTCAGAATAATTTAAAAAGAATAATACAGATCTTAAAAATAAGAAGGCAAAGTAAAAATACTTTGAAGCCTTCAAAATTTAAGTTAATACTAAAATTATTTTTTAAAATACAACTCAAGAATTAGGGAATAAAAAAAATATTGTGGAAAAAACCTTTGGAAGGATACCCTGAGAGAACTTCTCCTAACTTGGAAACCTACTAAAGAAATATCCTACATGGACCAGAGATGAAAAATGAGGACAGTGGAATGCAGTGGGCAAGAAGAGACAAAAGATATGTAGTAGAGGATGGAGAGGGAAATTCTTAAAACTAATTCTAGTTAAACCAATAAAAATAAATAAAATAAAACTAGTTAAACCAATAACTCAAAAGCATTTTTAAGAAAATTTTCTAAGACCATGGGGTGCCTGGGTGGCTCAGTCAGTTAAGTGTCCAACTCTCGATCTCAGGTCAGGTCTTGATCTCAGGGTTTTGAGTTCAAGCCCCAAGTTGGGGCTTAACTTAATAAAAAGAAAAAAAATTCTGTAAGATTATAAAAATAGGTTAGAAGCTCGTCTGTATACAAGTGTCTGTGTAGTACTATTTTAACACAAGGGATAGATTAGTTGATCTCAAGTTAATTTTTATCATCAAAGTTCTCAATTCTAAGTAGCTCAAAATCAGTTACTGACAACACATAGATCTTCTTATTTCCTTCATGAAAGCAGATGGTGTGCTGTGTCTCACTAAAGTCACCAGTAAATCATGCTCCTGTGCCTACTACATCAAGAAGTGACAAGTGAATGATGCACCCCTTTGCTTTGGTCCAGAAGTATGCAGACAATAAGTACTGACTCAAATTTTATTTTTTAAAAGTTCTTATTTAAATTCCAGTTAGTTAACATACAGTGTTATATTAGTTTCAGGCATATAGTATAGTGATTCAACATCTCCATACATCACTCTGTGCTCATCACAAGTGCACTCCTTAATCCCCACCACCTATTTTCACCCATCCTCCCACCCACCACCCCTCTGGTAACCATCAGTTTGTTCTCTACAGTTAAGAGTCTTTTTTGGTTTGTCTCCCCTCTCTCTAATTTTTATCCCTTTGATTGTTTTGCTTCTTAAATTCCACATATGAGTGAAATCATATGGTATTTTTCTTTCTCTGATTCATTCCACTTAGCATAATACACTCTAGTTCATCCACATAGTTGGGAATGGCAAGATTTCATTCTTTTCCTTATTTTTATTTTTATTTAAATTCAATTAGACAATATATAGTACACACATAGTTTCAGATGTAGAATGTAATAATTCATCAGTTGCATATAACACCCAGTGCTTACCACATCATCATGCCCTCCTTAATGCCCATCACCCAATTTCCCCAACCTCCCCCACCTCCCCTCCAGCAACCCTCAGTTTGTTTCCTCTAGTTAAGAGTCTCTTGATTCCATTCTTCTTGATGGCTGAGTTAATATTTCATTGTATATACACAGCACTTCTATATCCATTCACCAGTCGATGGACAACTGGGCTCTTTCCATCATTTGGCTATTTAGATAATGCTGATCTAAACATCAGGGTGCACGAATCCCTTTGAATTAGTATTTTTGTATTCTTTGGGTAAATACCTAGTAATGCGATTGCTGGATCATAGAGTAGTTCTCTATTTTTAACTTATTGAGGAACCTTTACACTGTTTTCCAGAGTGGCTGCCCAGTTTGCATTCCCACCAACAGTGCAGGTTTCCCTTTTCTCCACATCCTTGCCAACACCTCTTGTTTCCTGTGTCATCGATTTTTGCCATTCTGACAGGTGTGAGGTGGTATCTCATTGTAGTTTTGATTTGCATTTCCCTGATGATCAGTGATGTTGAGCATTTTTTCATGTGTCTGTTGGCCATCTGGATGTCTTCTTCGGAAAAATGTCTCTTCATGTCTTCTGCCCATTTTTTAATTGGATTATTTGTTTTTTGAGTGTTGAGTTTTGTAAGTTCTTTATGTATTTTGGATACTAACCCTTTGTCAGATATGTCATTTGCAATTATTGCAATTATATTCCTCATTCCTCTTTTAGTTTTGTTGATTGTATCCTTTACTGTGCAGAAGCTTTTTATCTTGCTGAAATCTCAATAGTTTATTTTTCCTTTTCTTTCCCTTACCTCAGGAGACATACCTCTAAAGAAGTTGCTATGGCTGATGTCAAAGAGGTTACTACCTATGTTGTCCTCTAGGTTTTTTATGGTTTCAGGTCTCATATTTGGGTGTTTAATCCATTTTGATTTTATTTGTGTGTAGGGTCTAAGAGAGTGGTCCAGTTTCGTTCTTTTGCATGTTGCTGTTCAGTTTTCCCAAAACTATTTGTTGAAGAGACTTTTTTCCCATTGGATATTCTTTTCCTGCTTTATCAAAGACTGACAGACCATACAGTTGTGGGTTTACTTCTGGGTTTTTTATTCTG